CCTCCCAACTGAGTGAGGGGGGGGGGGGAGTCAAAAGAAGCAAAAGCTGGAAACACACTTCTCCAAAGAGAAACAGGCAAGCCATTTCTAGCTTCCAATGCCTTTGATCTGCAAAAGGTGTGTTTTTGTAAAGCAGGGTGCAGAATCAGGGAAACAGCCCTTTTGCAACCTCTGGGACAATAAACTGACCCAGGGGACATGGTGACCTGTTACCATGTGCCCCACACCATCCCGGCTTGCCCTCTCAATCACACAGTAAAAAGCCTCAGTAAGCTGCCTCAACCAGTTTTTCCTTATGGAAAGATGGGAAACCTCCCGTCATGAGCCACCAGCTTCTTTTCGGCGGTGGCAGGAATTTTTTTCCAGTCCGGCCATGGAGCCACCCCAAATGGGTGTGATGGGTGTGAGGAGAGCTGTTGGTCTCCATAGCTGAACTTGAAAAACCCCACTGCTACCACCAAAAAAGGAACCCGTGTGAAGAGATCCTAAGTCACACTGGCTCAAAATATTTCAGGGTGGATTTCAATTGAAACGCATCAAACATCATAATGGGTTAAACAAATGTTTAAAAGATTTCAAAGGGGTTTTTTATTTTTAAAAAACTGTGTACATTGAATTTTGGCCAAAGATCTCTTGGCAGCCAGTACAATTTTAAATGTTAGTTTTCTCCTCTCTGTGGGAGAAAAGAAATATTCCTTCGCAGTATTCCTCTAATATTTTGATATGCAAAAATGCTACAGAGGAATTGCTCTGTGGGGGGAAAGAAGTGGGTGTTTCACACACACACACTTTACATGCATAAGCACACATACCTGCACATATACAAACACACATTCCGCTCAGGGAATGGCTATTGCATTCAAAAGACACCTCCCCATTCTTTTTGTTTATAAAACCATTGCTCCACAATACTTTAAAGTATTCTATATCACAAGAAAATTGCACAAAAATCTCATGTGCTTATTATGCCTCTCAACAATGTTTCCCTAGTGATGGAAATTAACTTTTTCATTTTCTAGGAAATAATTATGTATATTCTTTCCACTACTAATCTGAAGGGCCCACCTGTCTGCTTTGACCTCTGGAAACAAGATCACTAACCGCGTTATCACACCAGGGCTTTAAAGCGGGCAGTCCTGCATTTCTGCTACCTGCAAAATTCTGATAAATATAGTTTGGGAAAGTGAGGACATTTGTAGCTGAGAATTCAAAAGGCCATGCCCTAAACAACATTTCCCAGAATTCTGCAAGAGGCAGAAATGCAGGTCTGCCCACTTTAAAGCCCTTGTGTGATAACATCGAAAGTCTATCCTGACCAGAAATTATAGGAATATTCTAAAAATATTCTTTAAAATAATTGAAAACCAGATTTTTGAGTGTCAAGAAACTCTGAGAATAGATTTCTTGGAAATGATTTCTTCTTTCTGGTTGCGTTGCATGCAAAGCATTTTCTGCATATGAACACATTTTTGTGCTCATGTACAAAAGATGCTGTTTTCTGTAGGTAAAAATACCATGTGTCAATTTTATACAGAAGAAGTCCCAAATGTTGAATAGACTTCTAAAACTGTGGGCTATTTTAAGGGAAATTCCTCCTTCTGCTCTCAAAAGTTCCACTGCATCATTTAGAGGCTCCACAGAACAAGGAGAAGCCTCTAGACTCAATAAGGAGCCTATTTTTACAATGTTGAAGACCGGAAAGGAGGTGAGAGAGTGGATGATGCACTGTCATCCTTCCTCTGTGGGCTGCTTGAGCCCACAATGGCGGAGTGACTGTGAGGACTTCTGGGATTGCACATAGCAATCCCAGGAGCAATCTCCACGGTTCTGGATTTTTGCAGGTGTTTTTTTCTAAACCCAGGATTTTAGGTTTATTCTGGGTTAATGTGCATTATCATGAGCCTGTCATTATGGGTCCTCTGGAGATTGTAGTATGGAGAGGCACTTCAGGTCACTAGCAGGGATTTCCTAATACCCCTCCCCCGACCTGCAAAGTTTCAGCATACCATCAGGTGGAACTATAGTGATTAAAATTAAATCATACATAGAGCCATAATCCAAAAAGATAGCTATGCTACTTCAAAATATCAAGGCTACCACTGTAGAGACTGAGAGAATTATGTTGACAATTGATGCATCTGAGATAGTAGATTTGCTCTATTGATCTTATCAGCATCATCCTTTCAATTAGTCCATAGAGGTAAAACTGAATAAAGGAGCTCCAAAAACTCATACACATTGGGTATAGCAGGGATGTGCAGCTCAGAAACCCCAGGTAGTTTCTGTGTCCCTTCACCCCTTCTGTACTGACTTTCAACGGGCAAATAAAATAATGAATTGCCTTTGCTGGGCTTCTTTACACTGATAAATAAAAACCTCAAACTCCCCCCAATTGAACCGCTTGCTGTCCCCACAATGCACATTAGCTTTCAATGGGCATCCTATTTTTTGTTTCTTTGTTGTTCTTTTTGTTTTGGTTTGCTCTAAACTGAATGTGCTCCACTTTGAATAGAGTCAAGATATACTCTAGAATTTCCGGGAAACCTTGGGGAACTTTGGCCAGCTTGATTGGATCTGAATTATTATTGTTGTTATTATTGTTGTTGTTGTTTTTATTTTATACTCTACTTTCTCTCTTTAAAAAAGACAAAAAGAAACTTAAAATAAAACACAATTTAAAACCTAAAAATGTACAGACTATAAAATAGAATTAAAGATTAATGGAATTAAAATATAAAGAGTTAAAATCCTTAAAACTGATTTAAAACCTATTCATAGCTAAAACCACAGCACTTTCTGATTTGATCTTTAAAACCCCTTCCCTTAAAAACCTAACTGAATGAAAAGGTCTTAGCCTGCCACTGGAAGGATAGCAGGGAGGAGGTCATTCTGGCATCCCTGGGCAGGGAGTTCCAGAGCCAAGGGGCAGTCAATGAGACAGAAGGCCCACTCTCTCATACCCACCAAATGAGCTTGTGATCTCAGACCCCAGGCAGATTTGTATAGGGAGATGCAATCAGTTGAATAGCCTGGACCTGAACGCTCTAGGGCTTTAAAGATCATAATCATCACTTTGAATTGTGTGGAGATACTGGTACAAAAGAGTGGTCTGCACCTTTTACTAGCGATTGCCAATTTGCAACCTGGCCACAGCTCTTTGGATTGGCTGAAGTTTCCAAACCTTCTTCAAAGGCAACCCCATGCAGAAATGTAATTAAGGCATGTACCACTATGACCTGATCCAGCATCTCAAGAAACAGGTCCTGCCCTCAATAGTCCCAGGATACATTTATTCATGAAGAATACATGCCATTCATCGACTTTGCAAAGGCATTCGACACAGTGAATCGCAGCTCTCTCTGGTCCATCCTCCAAAAAATTTGGTGCCCAAACAAATTTGTGAACATCCTGCGGCTCCTCCATGATGACATGATGGCAACAGTCTTGGACAGCAATTACTTCCAAAGTGACCCATTTAAAGTGGAATCAGGTGTCAAACAGGGATGCGTTATTGCCCCAACCTCTTCATCGCTATGATACTTCATCTTGTTGATGAGAAGCATCCCACTGGAGTTGGAAATCATCTATCGGACAGATGGCAAGCTATTCAAACTCAGCAGACTGAAAGCCAAAACCAAGGTTACAACAACATCTGTTTTAGAACTCCAATATGCTGATGACAACGTCGTCTGTTCACATTCAGAAGAAGACCTGCAAGCCACTCTAAACACTTTTGCAGAAGCATACGAGAAGCTTGGCCTGTCATTAAACATTGAGAAAACCAAAGTGCTCTTCCAGCAGTCACCGGCTAATCCCTCTCCAATGCCAGAGATACAGCTTAATGGTGTAACATTAGAAAATGTTGACCATTTCTGCTACCTTGGCAGCCACTTCTCCACCAAAGTCAGCATTGACACCAAAATTCAACACCGCCTGAGCTCTGCAAGTGCAGCATTTTTCCGAATGAAGCAGAGAGTGTTTGAGGACCGGGACATCCATAGGGATACCAAGGTGCTTGTTTATAAAGCTATTGTCCTCCCAACCCTGCTATACATCTGCGAGACATGGACAGTCTACAGACGTCGCATGCAGCTCCTGGAATGATTCCATCAGCGCTGCCTCCGGAAAATCCTGCAAATCTCCTGGGAAGACCTGCGGACAAATATCAGTGTGCTGGAAGAAGCAAAGCCCACCAGCACTGAGGTGATGGTCCTTCGCCATCAACTCCGCTGAACCGGCCATGTTGTCCGGATGCCCAACCACCGTCTCCCAAAACAGTTGCTCTACTCCGAACTCAAGAATGGAAAACAGAATGTTGGAGGACAGGAAAAGAAATTTAAAGATAGGCTCAAAGCCAACCTTAAAAACTCTGGCATAGACACTGACAACCGGGAAGCCCTGGCCCTTGAGCGCTCCAGTTGGCGGTCAGCTGTGACCAGCAGTGCTGCAGAATTTGAAGAGGCACAAATGGAGGGCGAAAGAAACGTGCCAAGAGGAAGGCGCATCAAGCCAACCCCGACCAGGACCGCCTCCCACCTGGAAACCGATGCCCTCTCTGCAGGAGAAGATGCAGATCAAGAATAGGGCTCCACAGCCACCTACAGATCCACCCCCAGGTTACCACTCTTGGAGGACCATCATCCTTGGACTACAAGGGATTGCCTAAGCAAGTAAGTAAAATTTATTGTTTCTTTAAAAGAGAAACTAACAAACACTTGCATGAATCACAAAGGTGTTTTTTTTTCCTCTGTCACATTTGAAACTTAAAAACAACCAGATCCTACCCAACTTATCCCAAAAATATGTTAGTAATTGTGCATTTATTTTTTTTCAAGTTATGATGACTCTCTTAATTTCATAACCTGTTTTTAGGGAAGTAATGCTCAGAAGTGCTTTTACTAGTTCCTTCCTCTGAAACAGAGCCTACAGTACTTGGCATTACTAACAGACAACTAAGTATATTACATTTTAAGAAAGGTACAATAGAGATAGTCACTTACCACCAATATCCATATCCATCTTGAACTGAACACTGTGTGTGTGAATTGCCCCCAGCACCCACTCTTGAACCCTGTTGCCAAATTCTGTAGCATCACCAATGAGGAAAGATGATTGAATATACCCACTGAGATGGGCCCTGACACCAACAACTCCATTTTGGTGAAAAATAAAGTCCCATATATAGTCATAGTTAGTAACAGAACTTATTGATCTAAACACGAGAACGGAATCTTCCAATCCTCCATAAAATGGAGCCTGGCCATTTTCATAATGGCGTCGCAAAGGCACCTCAGCATTCTGCTCAAAGATGCAGATTGAGGCTTCTCTGGTTACAGGTGATGGTGTATCAACAAATAAGTGTCTGTCCAAATAAGTAGCTAAGTAAGGACAATCCACACCCTGGGTGAGTGAATGTAGAGCACGTCCAAACCCATAGCTTATGTCCATATATCTACTTGACATTAACAATGGACTGCTGGAGCCATAGACAGCCGATGCATCTTGCAGGCTTAGTTCATAGATTATCCTCTCACCCTTAAACCTGATGTCAAAGACACGGGGTCCCTGGAATACATCTGTTCCAAAGGCAAAACTCCATGACATGAAGTTGACTTGGTTATTCTTGATCCTATAGCGTGGGCCACGAGGTTCATAGTGCAGAGGACCTGGACCCTTAGGGGGCACCCTTTGTTTTAATGATGTATATCCCCCATCAGGAGGAGACTTTTTGACTTTGGCTATTTTAACACATCCATCATTGAATTGTCTCTCAAGTTCTTCCATGTCTTCAAAGTATTGACCATTATAGAATACCTTTTTCACTTTCCAGTCAGAAATATCTAGGCTACTAAGATCCAATAGGACCTCAAGTCCAACAGGGTGCACATAAAAGCCAGAAACATTTTGCAAATGATTAAGCCAGATTAGGCGGTCTCCTGATTCAAAGCCTGGAGGAAATCCAAAAGTATAAAGAAAATTGTTTCCATTGTAATCAAATACCTTGTGCATAAAGTTGGAAGCCTTTGGATACTCCTTGTTCTTCAGCAATGAATACATTTCTTCCAAGTCATTATTTAACAGAAATCTTTTGGAATAAGTTAGTTTTCTGCCATACTTTTCCTCTGTGATGTCATAGTGGTATGTTGGATTTGGAAGAGGGCCCACCAAAAACTCAGTGATGTTTGGATCCTCCTGATTTCCAAAGTAGACTGTGACTAGTGCTTGTCGAGTAGGTCTTCTCCCTTGATGGTCCAGAAATTCCAGAACCTCTGCTTTTGGAGGAAGCTGGAGAGTGATAGAATAAATGACGTTGTCATCTGGCTTTGCTTGAGAAGGATCAACCAGTGGTACTGCTAGATTTTGTTGTAAGTACCTGTTCACTCGTATCATCTCTGCTGGAGATAAATCATCAAATATCAGGCTGTTGATACCTTGGGTTTTCTCCTCTAACCCAAGATCCTGGAGATGACTTTCACAAATCATGGATGTCTTCCCTCTTGTTTGCAAAGTCCAGACTATGATAAAAATTATGGCTGTGAATATTGTTAGGAGAGGATAAGCCAATTTTAAGTTCATTTTCAGCAATGCTGTAAATGGGTTTGTAAAACAATTTGTAGAATGCAGATTTTATAATCCCAATATTTATGTAGGGTTCCAGAGAATGATAAAATGAACAGCAAGAAAGGAGATGGGGAGCCCAACTGTAATATAGCTTGAGTTTTCAAAACTATATAAATGCCAAAATCTAGGAAATACCACTGTTTTGTGGCAAATATTTTTATTTCATTCACACCCTTAATAATCTCACTCATCCAGTTTGAACATCTCATTAGTCACAAGATGAACAAAGAGATAAAATCTAAATTACTCTCAGCATTTTCATTAAAAGTGTAAATTGGAAATATTAATCCTTGTTTTATCATTTATTTCATTGTTATGCAGAAACAAATTATTTTAAAAGCTGTGTTCCATTATGAAGAATTCTAAAGGGTTGGGACATTTTTGCACAGTGGTGATTTTTTCATGAGAACTTCAGGTTTAAAGCCAAAAAGAGCTTTTCAGTGTTGTACACTAAAAACCTTCTGTGTAAACATAGTATAGTTTGTGCAAAAAACCTTATTCTCTTCTGTACATAAACCTATTTTCTACACAAATATTTTTCATGACAAAATTACTCTAAAATGTAAAAAGTTTCATTGTGATTTCTCTCCAAAGAATTATTGGCTTCTCAGCAAGAATTTAAAAATGTGTGACCATTCCTAATATACAAGTATATTTAATCATGTTCAAAAAAGTTATGGGGGGAGGGAATCCTTTAGATTGTCTCAGTTGAAACTTATGCTTTACAGAACCTTCTAGTGCTTTCCAAATTTTGCAACCTCCTACTCTCTTACTTGCAGAAATATCAGTGCATGTGTCAAAGTAAGCCTTGAAAACCAAATTTGAGACAGAATTTAAACAATTAAAACCATGTCTACACTGGCTGCTTAATCACTGTGATAACAACTGCCCACACCAGAATGTATCCTCTGTTTAATCTGGAGTATTGTGCAGATTTGCCCAGGTAATGTCCTTACAATGTCTGGAATTTATATTGATTGATTTTGCAACCTCAGCAAATGATGCAGCAGATCTGAGTCCACATTGGCCATGCTGGTCCATCCATGTTCTGTGTTTCTCCACCACCGCTTCCAGTGGCAACAAAGCTCTCTACAAGTACCGATCCATCACAGTCACATCTGTGCCACTAGCAAGACAGAGCTTAGAGGGATACTTCCTCTCCTTCTTGCTGGTTATATGGATATCCAGTTCTGATCCAGCGGACCATGATGGGCAGACATTTCCAGGGAACTCTGCAATGGGTGATGAGCAGAAAAACAAGGCCCACCTTCCCCTGCTCCCACCTCCTGATGCATCATGTTCAAGTGTCAGGAGTACTCTATGGAGGGAACTGCACTGCTAACAGACCCCTTGAGTAAGATCCTGGGAGGAAATGGAGGGCTGGGGGGAAGGGGGTGGGCATCCTCCCATTTTTTTTCAGTCTCCAATAGTCTGAAGAACTGAGGTGGCTGTGGGAATTGACCCCCAGAACTTCAGAGGCAGTCCTGGAAGTCAATCCCTAAGGGCCCACATCTGGAACGATGTGGGTCCAGATCTTTCCAGTTTAAGGGAAGATCTTTCCAGCTTAAGGAAAGATCTAGCATAAGGTCCAGATCTTTCCAGGCATTTAATTTATGCAAAATAAATGGGAAAACCCAGCTTTCTCTGCATTAATTTGCTTTTACCTTAGGCATCATTTGGACACCTCAGGTAAAAACGAGATAGGTTCCGCATTTTGGGCCTGTCTGAAAGGGCCAGGCATGTAGCCGGGGGGGGGGGGGGCTTTGGGGGCTTCCCCCCCCCCCCCCCAAATTCTCCTGGTGGTCTGCAAAAAGGCCTTACTGGTACATTATTTAAACTGTTATGTTTATTCATATCATGATCTGATCACCATACTCAATATATTTCATATGCATTTCATATTGGGGTAACAATACAAAAGATTTGCTAGGGTAGACCCTCTTTCACTCAGACTTAGCCCCCCCCCAAATCAAACTCAGACCCCCCTCCCCAAATCAAAATCCTGGCTACGGGCCTGGGAAGGACCCTAAGATATATTCACACATTCAGCAAAAAAGCAGATAAATTATAATTTAAAGTATCTGTCTCAATATCTTTGCCACAAACACATTAGATGTTCTCGTAAATTGATCTCAAAAGTATTTTAGGCTCCTTCTACGCTGCCATATAATTCAGATTATCAAATTAGATAATCCACATTATCTGCTTTGAACTGAATTATATGAGTCTACATTGGAATATAATCCAATTCAAACCAGATAATCTACAAATCTGGATTTGCAGAAGAAGTGCAGAAGAAGCCTGAAAGAGGAATAATATATCCTGACCTGATCAATCTACTCCACCCACAGTCTATCTTAAAAGCAAGCTCCCTGATTGAGCAAGGAGGTCCTTTCAGATAACAATCAAAGTACAAAGAGGGAAATATTTCTAAACACACATTGGAAAATTGGGCTACAACAAAGAATTGTTCCTCCTGGTAACAGAATTCTGTTTGTCCAGGTAGTAGCTTTTTATTTGCTTTCGTTTAGATTTTGCTGTGCTTTTGATTTTGCTGAAATTCCACTAATTTCAGAAATACTGAAAAAAAATCCACATTATCTGCTTTGAGCTGGATTATATGAGTCTACAATGTCACATAAAAGAGTTCAAAACAGCTAATCTGGATTTTATATGGCAGTGTAGAAAGGGCCACAGCCACCCTTTTCTGACATTCAATGATAATTAAAATTGCAATACATTTTATCATCCTCTAATGCAGTGGTAAACTGGCTGGGATTTCTGGCCAAAACACCTGGGGACCCACAGGTTGAGAGCCACTGCTCTAGTGGAATAAAGAAGAAACATTTATTTATATGTTGTATTGTCTTTTTCTGATTGGTTGTGCTACATCAGCAGTTTTCCAGGTTTATATCATATCATTTTTTTTCTATCCACTATTACTAAATATGCTCAAATTCCATTTCATACAATGGCACAGTAAAATGGTGACCCTCATAAAATGGCAAAATCAAAGTTTGATTCTGGAGTATTTTCAAGTTATGGGTTGTTGAATCTATGACCATAGAATCTATGTTTATGTAAGATTGACTGTAAAAAGCAAATTTACTTAATGCTTCCAAGGCAAGATGTATATCTGGGTGAGGAAAGTATGCCCTCCAAATGTGGTTTTACAAACTGACAGGCTTTCTTCCTTCTTTATCACCATTGACAGGGATGTGAACTGCATAAGAGGGATGCTGCCTCTTTGTTCATCTCAGGTGCCAAACATGTATTTCCCCCATTCACTCATTACATAAAATCTGAATAAAACTTGACATAGAAAAAAAGTGTTTACCTTGTTTGAGGCAAAATTCAGATTTTGGCATGTACAGTTGGTCCTCCACTTTTGTGAGAAATTAGGTATGGAAGACTCCTCCTCCCCAAAAGTGGAAAAACTGTAAATGATTAAACTCTACCCCTAACCAAAGTTAACATGCTTGCTAGCTCTAAGAGTCCTGAACTTGCTGTTGCGTGTGCCCATGTCTGCACAGTCCCTTCCCCATTTCCTTCTTAAATATATTGCAGTACTTAGCGAGAGGGACTGAACCCTGCCAACTGCCTCCACCCAGCCCCCTTACTTGCTAACTGGATCACCACCACCTCTACTGACCTCTTCGTAGGCAAATGCCGAAGTCAACCAGGGCTGCCACCTCAGTCTTGCAGACCCCAACAGTCTTGCAGACCCCAACTGAAGAGGAAAAGCAACCCTATATGCCACCTTTGTCAGACCCAGCCTACCTGGGCAAAATACAGAAGCATGGGGCAAAGGCAACAAGAGATAGTCCAAACTGGACTACAGAAGGGACAGCCTGGACAAGAGCCATCAGCTTAGGGAAAAGAGAGGGACCATGCCAGAACTCATCAGTTTTCCACTACTATAGCTACACTGGACACATGGAGATAACTTCTAAATATGTATTACATTTTAGAAAACTTACTATATAGTCACTTACCACCAATGTCCATGTCCACCTTGAACTGAATGCTGTGAGTATGAATTGCCCCTTGTGACCATTGCTGAACTCTGTTGCCAAATTCAGTAGCATCACCAAAGAAAAAAGGTGACAGAATATATCCACTAGGATGGACCCTGACACCAATGGCTCCGTTTTGGTGAAAAATAAAGTCCCACACATAGTCATAGTTAGTAACTGAAGTAATAGATCTAAACACAAGAGCAGAATCCTCCAACCCTCCATAAAATGGAGCCTGGCCACTTTCATAATGGCGTCGCACAGGCACCTCAGCATTTTGCTCAAAGATGCAGATTGAAGCTTCTCTGGTGACAGGTGATGGTGTATCAACAAAATAGTGTCTGTCCAAATAAGTAGCTAAGTAAGGGCAATCCACACCCTGGATGAGTGTGAAGAGACTATTTCCAATCCCATAGCTTAAGTCCAAATATCTGGTAAGCATTGGTCCGGGATTATTGGAGCCATAGACAGTCATTGCATCTTGCAGGCTTAGTTCATAGACGATCCTCTCACCCTTAAATCTGATATCAAATACACGGGGCCCGTGGATTGCATCTGTTCCAAAAACAAAACTCCATGACATGAAATTGACTTGGTTATTCCTGATGCTGTAGCGTGGACCACGGGGTTCATAATGCAGAGGGCCTGGCCCCTTTGGTGGTACCCTTTGTTTTAAGGAGGAATATCCCCCATCAGGAGGAGACTTTTTGACTTTGTTTACTTTAACAAACCCTTCATTGAATTGCCTTTCAATATCCTCCATGTCCTCAAAGTATTGTCCATTATAGAAAACCTTTTTCACTTTCCAATCAGAAATATCTAAACTGCTAATATCCAGTTGAACCTCAAATCCAACAGGGTGCACATAAAAGCCGGGAACATTTTGGAAATGATTAACCCAGATTAGGCGGTCTCCTGATTCGAGACCTGGAGGCATTGCATGGGTATACCGAAAATTGCTTCCATCGTAATCAAAAACCTTGTGCATAAAGTTTGGAGCCTTTGGATATTCCTTTTCCTGCAAGAATATATGCATTTCTTCAAACTCATTA